GTCTGCTGAACTTTTTGGCAATACTTGCAGCGGCTCGCTGGTTGACGGGGCCATCGCAAATTCCAGTGACAGACTTGGGCTTGCAAATGAAGCTGTTGCAATCGTCGAATATATTGATGCTGAAAACGAAAGATGAGCTCCTCACGAATGTGGCAAGGCCTGCTGACTGAGCAGCTACGCGTGAGGAGACAGCGCAATCACGACGTGCTGATACTGTGGAATCTCTACTCTGTGCGCGATGGGCGACGATTGGCATGCCTTGAATCAAAACCACACGCGGGCGCTTCGGATCATTCCCACCTTCGGACATGACACGCGCGGTGGCCAGCCGATCACTAGGAGAAATTGCTGTCGACAAGGCGTCCACCATCTGTTGGCGGCGGCAGTTGTGGTGTCGGAGCTGGCCGCGGGACATCTTCAGAGCTGTGGTCGGCTGTACAATGAAACCTCTTGCTCGTCCTCGCCCTCTGCCTCTGCCTCGGCCTGGCTGCCCTGGTAGCCGTCCTCCTCCGCCTCTCCTCCCGCCGCGGTGCCCTGGGCCAGGCTGGGCGGGCTGCGGCGGGGGCGCTGGCGGTGGATGGGCCTCCTCGCCCACCTCGTGGCCCCATAGAGCACGGAACATTCAGTGAACTCACCTCCACTCACCATTGGGCGCCATGGCTGCACATCGCTGCAGACAAGCTTCCGTCAGAAAAAACTATGGATTCAGACATGTGCCATGCAAGAAAAAGCCGAACGGCTGCTGTGAGAATTGCGGGGGCAGGGCGGCACATGCAAGCATCGCGTGGGGCTGCGTGGGGCCTGTTAGTATATATGCACACGTGTTTCCAGAACAAACATGGCCCTGTCCCTGACAAGGATCAGCGAATCATGGAACCGCATCAGGGTCCCCACATATGTTGGCATGTGTCTGTGGCTATTATATTCACCCGAACTCAGCACTCACTGAAAACATGTCTTTTTTAGACTTATGGTTTTCACCGATTTGGGCTCTACAAGACGTGGGTGGTACCTAGGAAAGTAAGGGTTATATTAACATTAGGCCAAGTACCAAAACAAGCTCGAATGGCAGGCAAGGCCTTGCGCGGTTCAGAAGGGCATTCATGCATGGATGCCCCGTTCGTCGCGTCTTTCGCGCGCCCCCCCCTCGTCGCGGTTCGCCCACGCGCGCGCGCGCGCAGCCGAGAATAACACCGGAGCTGCACGCGAAGGAGGACGATGGTGAACACGACGACAGAGAGAAGCCAGCGGCAATGACAATACAAGCGCGCGCGGCCTCGGTGGCGCGATCCGATTCTCTTCGCGCGGGGCAAAGCCTCGGGCGAAGGGCCCTGCATGCATTGCATTGGCCCCTTAGTGCGGCCGCCCCCCCCCACCCTCCTTTCCCCGCGCAGCTGGAAGGGGCATCCATTTTTGGGCGCCCCTCGTCGCGTTCGCCCATGCACACCCACGCGGCCACGCGAGGGCGGGGCGACGCTGACACGTCGCATCGCAGAAGGCTTGGAGCAGCGACAACGGAAAGTCTCCAGCGAACCCGACCCCACAGGGGAAGGGCGCCCCAGAGCCCACGCCATCAGTCGAAGCCAAGGAACGAACCACCACAGCCCACTGCGGCGGTTAAATCAGCACGAGGCACCAGCTCGTCAAGCGGCACATCCCCTCTCATACGGTTGCGATGGATGACTCTGCGGGCTCTGCTAACCCACGAAAAAGCGCCCCCAGAAAAATCCTGAAACATGCAGGGGCGCTCTTGTCGCCCCCTGCAGTTCACCCGCCGACGCAGGAAGGGCGCGCTGCTGTAGTTCACCCGCCGACGCAGGAGCAGCTTCCGAGACATGCCCGAAGGCGCCCCGACGCACACACACACACACACACACACACACACACACACACACACACACACACACACACACACACCGCCCCCGCGGCAGCCCCTCGCGCGGCGCGCGCGGCACGGCGGAGGAAGGGGAAAAACCGAGCCAGCCGCCATGGTTCACCCGACAGGCGGGAGCGGCGCAGCGACGCGCCCGAAGGCGACGCTGCCGTCAGAACCAGCCAGGCCGAGAAAGGGCCGCGCCCACGCGGCGCGCGCAGGCCCGACTCAGGCCCCCTCAAGCCTCGGCGCCCCCGCCTCGGAGGCAGGGCGTGAACGGCGGGCGAATGGCTCCCGGCACGGAGCTCTTGAGCTCGACGAGCTCGGCGCCGAGCTTCACTTCGAACTCCTTCGTCCGGCAGTCGATATTGTTCAGATATGCCGCCAGCTCGGCCCTCTGCTCCTTCAAATAATAAATGACCTGGTCGAGGTCTGCCTTGGCGGCGGCTTTCTGCATCATCATCTCCTCGCGGATCAGCTCGAGATATCCGACGGGCACCTTGCCGTTCAGCTGCACAGTCACGAAGCTGTTGATAGTGCCAAGATCTGTTTTGTTCGTGGCCATCTGCTCATTGGGCTCGCCGTAGACCGGATCGCGTTCTGTCTCGGCGGCGGTCGTTTGCAACTTCAGGTCGCTTTGGAGCTGCTCGAAAAGCTGCACCAGGATGGCGTCGTTGATATTGCCAAGATCTGCTTATGTGTGGCCATCTGCCCCCTCAACTCGCCGTGGACCGAGTCGGTCGTCTGCCACTTCAGGTCGGCGCAGACCCCTTCGAGAAGCTGCTCCATATTGGGGCGGCGACATTGGACATTGTCAAGGCCGGCCTCGTGCACGGCCATTCGCTCCACCAGCTAGCCGTAGACATGGTCGGGGTATGTCTTGGCGGAAGCCGTAAACATCTTCACCTCGCCATGGATCTGCATGGGCCCGTACTTGTCCACCACGTCGCTGGCCTCCTCGCGGTGGCCTGCGAGCCTCTCAAGCTGGGATACTCGCGGCATGAGCTCCTCCAGCGGCGGCTCCATTTTGGGACCGATGGGCACCAGCCTGCCCTCGTCGCTATTGTTCTGGAATTCCTCCATGGGCTCCAGATTCTCTGTGACGGTTTCCGCAGTCCCAGATGAAGAAGCTCTGGTCCTTTGAAGAGCAAGCGCCACCCCTGACCCGGGAAGCCAACTCGTCCTTCTGCACGGGCTACCCCTAACGCGGGCAGCCATTTCGACCGACCGCGCAACCTCATTATTGCCACAGTGGGCCACCACGGGGCAAGACCCCGCCAGGCCGCCAGGCCGCAAGGCAGGCTACAAATCAGTACATGGACGGGACCTCTAGGTAGAGCCCAGCGCACGCGAAAAATCCGCCGTCAGCTGCATCGTGGCCTCCCGTGCTACCCCCAACCCGGGCAGCCAATTCGTACCGATCCTGTGGGGTCTACCAGCCAGTGCGAGCCCTCGCCAGCAACCCCTGCTAACAGGCCGCGAGTTGGGGTGCAAGCCAAGCAAACCTGACAGTTCGGGCAGTGATCCTCCTCCTCCTCCACCTCCTCCTCCTCCTCGTCCTCTTTTCTCCCTCGTCTTCCCTCTTCCTCCTCTTACCTCCCTTTTCCTCCTCCCTCCTCCCTCCCTCCTCATCCTCCTCCTCCCCCCTCTCCTCCTCCTCTTCCCCTCCTTTTCCTCCTCCTCCTCCTCCTCCTCCTCCTCCTCCTCCTCCTCCTCCTCCTCCTCCTCCTCCTCCTCCTCCTCCTCCTCCTCCTCCTCCTCCCCGAAGCCTAGCTTTAGGGCGGGCCGGGCGTTTCGCCTGAGACTTCCTCATAATCAGTTATGACCATGACGCTTGAAAACTGGAAACCGTTTCACAGATGAGGGCGGGTTGCTTTCAAAATGTGGTTATCGCTTTAGCGCCGCGCACATTCGCTTAAGAAATTGCAAGTGCTTCGCGGATGGAGGGCGACTGGTTTTCCAAAATGCAATTTTCGCCTTAGCGCCGGGTGTATTCGTTTTCGCCGCGTACAGTCGTTGTTTTGTGCAAGAGTTTCACAGACTGAGGGCGTTCGTTCCCTACCTAGGCTCTGCCTAAAAGGGTTCTTACTCGGTAGCTTAAAGGGCCGGGCAGTGGAACGCGCCCCGGGCGGTTCCCCCGGCATCCGCCCCGCGGTTCCCCAAGTTACGCCCCCTTAGTTTAGCGTTGTTTTTCTCATCTTAACTTAGCATATAATATCATATCATAACATAGCATAGCATTGCATGTCATAGCACAACATATCATCCCATAGCACAGCCCTTAACTTAGCATCGCATAGCATCGTATCGCATAGCATAGCGCAGCATATCATAGCATAGCATTGCACAGCATTGCATTGCATAGCATAGCATATCATAGCATAGCATAGCGCATCACAGAATGACATAGCATAGCATAGCAACTAATGTTGTTTTCCTAGGGGTTCCAACTTCTAGGTAGGGTCACACTGGGTATGTTTTAATATGTGGTTGTCGCCTCAGCGCCATGCACACTCGCTTTGACAATTGCAAGAATGTCCGTTTATCATTTTTCATAATATGTTCCTCGCCAGGGCGCCGCGCACCTTCGTTTTCAAACTTTGCAAGAGATCCACGGATTCCCATAATCAGCGTACCAAATGTGCTGTTGTGGATTGACTACGGATGTATAGGGTGCAACAGTTACGTTGGTTCGCGGCGTTGCAGTCCCAAGAATGGTTTTCTGCCACGACTCTGGATCGCCAAGACGCAACAGTCAGGTTGATCCGTGGCGTTAATGCCGAGAACGATGTTTCGGTATGCTTCAAAGTCTTCGAACGGATGGTTTCCAGCGAATCCTTCCGTGAAAACCAACCCTTGTATGGGGCCTATGAGGGAGCTTGGAGGGAGCGTTCGTTCCAACATCGTTGGCGACTACTGGATTTACACTGATCCTCCTCCTCATCCTCCGCCTCCACCTCCTCCTCCCTCCCTCCTCTTTCCTCCCTCCCTCATCATCCCTCCTCCCTCCTCCCTCCCTCCTCCCTCCCTCCTCCCTCCCTCCCTCCCTCCCTCCTCCCTCCCTCCTCCCTCCCTTCCTCCCTCCTCCCTCCTCCCTCCGCCGCCGGGGAAGGCGAGGCCGGCGCTCCGGAGACCACGCAGGCTCTCGGCCTCCGCGCGCGGCGGGCGCGGCGGGCGCGACGCACACGCCGCCACCCGGGGCCACCCCCGGGGAAGGCGGCGCAGTCTGGGAGTCCCGAAGCGGTGGGGCGACAGACCGCGCGGTGACCTCGGAAGCGTTCTGCTGCGGCGCGCGCGCAGGGCGAGCGGTCAAGCGCCCCGGCGGCGCCGTGCCCAGCTCGGGCGCGAGCACCTCCTTCGGGGTGGCGTGGGGGGGAGGCCCCAGAAGACCTCACCGCAGAGTCCGTCACCGCACGGGCATTGGGGCCCTGGGGGCCCCGGTCGCCCGACGACCTCCTCGGAGGAGGCCTCGGGTCCCAAACCCGTGCGGCGACCCCGAGTCCCAACCGACGCACCACACGGTGTGGTTACCACCCCGTTTGTCGGGAGCGGCCAAGAGGGGGGTGTCCAAGAGCGGGGGGGTGCAAATCATGACCGGCGGCATGTGCGCGGCCCACCGGGGGCCCCAGGGACGTGATGAAACAAGAAGGGCGATATCATGGCCCACGCCATGATATCCACCCCCACCCTTAGTCATCATCCCCCTCTTTGCCGCCCCCGACGTTTGGGGGCCCCCGAGCATTGGGCCGCATCGAGGCAGAGCCAGGATCGGATCGGATCGGGTCGGTCGCACCGGGGTGCACCGGAGAGGTCTGGCAGCACGCGCGCGGGGCCGGCCCCGGAGAGAGGAGGCGGCGCACTGGGCCGCAGGGGGGCTCGGCGCCGAGCTCAGAGGTGCGGACTCCGAGCGAGGAGGAGGAGGGAGGAGGAGGAGGAGGAGGAGGAGGAGGAGGAGGAGGAGGAGGAGGAGGAGGAGGAGGAGGAGGAGAGGAGAGGAGGAGAGGAGGAGGAGGAGGAGGAGGAGGAGGAGGAGGAGGAGGAGGAGGAGAGGAGGAGGAGGAGGAGGAGGAGGGAGGCGTGAGGTTCGAAGCGTCTTCTCCTCGTTTTTGTCGGCCTCTGGAGGCCATCTTCGGGCCGCGAGGCCCTCGAAAAAATCCATCCGGGGCAGAAAAGCCGCGTCGGGTGGGCCCCTGGAGGGGTCCAGGGGCCGAGTTTGACCAACTACTCGGCGGCGCGCCCGAGGGGGAAGTGATGGGGAGGAGGCCTTCTCAGAAGGCAGCGGGGCTTCTCAGAAGGCACCTGGCCGTCTGAGGGGCTTCCTGTGTCGTCGGGGGAGGCTCAGGAAACTTCTCAGAGGGCGCGGGGACTTCCGAGCCTTCTGAGAAGGCCTGCCCCTTCTTTCTCACTTCCCCCGCCCCTGGGCTTCGGGGGCGGCCAAGAGAGGGGCGTCCAAGAGGGGGGGACGCAAGTCATGGCTGGCGGCATGTGCGCGGCCCAGGGGGGGGGGCCAGGAACGCATTGAAATAAGAGGGGCCATGAAAAAGCTGAGGAAATCTCATGACCCCGCCATGATGTCCATGCCCCCCCCCGAGTCATCACCCCCGTCTTGGCCGCCCCCGACTCCTGGGCAGGCCGCCGCGAGACGTAGGGCGACGCAATCTATACATATCCACTGCTCCCTGGCCAGGCCCATCCTGAACACAGCAGCTGTATACGCCACGCCCTCCTGGTCTGGCCAGGAGGGCGTATACACAGCTCCTGGGTTCAGGATGGGCCTGGCCAGGGAGCAGTGGATATGTATAGACTTCGTCCCCCGAAGACGCATCGGGAGCGGCCAAGAGGGGGGTGTCCAAGAGGGGGGGGTGCAAATCATGACCGGCGGCATGTGCGCGGCCCAGCGGGGGGGCCTGGGACGTAATAAAACAAGAAGAGGCGCCATGAAATCTGGGGAAAAATCATGGCCCGCGCCATGAAATCCACCCCCCCTTAGTCATCACCCCCCTCTTTTCCGCTCCCGAGGGCAGGCCGCCGCGAGACGGAGCCGGGATCGGACTGGGTCGGGTCGGTGGCGCCGGGAGGCACGCGCGAGAGGTCCTGGGCGGCACGCGCGCGGGAGGCTGGCCCGAGGGGGGACGGCCGTCGGAGCCGGCGGGGAGCGGCTCCGAAGGAGGAAGGGGCCTTCTTTTAGGGCCTCGAGGAAGAGGGGCCTTTCTCGGGGCCACGACGCAGGTCGCACACCACGAAGGATTGCAAAAAAAACCATTGAAGGAAGGATTGCAAAAAAAAACAAGGATTGCAAAAAAAAAAAAAAGGTTTGCAACCCAGCATAGTTAACCACACCCATGGAAGGGAACAAACAACGACATAAACATAGAAACTCGGAGGTCCGCGCGCGGACTTCTCGCATCGGCGCTCTGGACCCCCCAGCGGCGCCTGCGGCGCCGCCCCTTGGCGCGCTCCGCGCGCCAGGGGTCTCCAGCGCCGATGCGAGAAATCCGCGCGGGCCTCCGAGCTTTTGTGCTCATGTCATGGTTCGCTCCCCTACTTCTCTGTAGGCAAGCACGTCCCACTCCTCGCAGGGTCACCACTCGCAAGTGGCCTGGACCCGCCGCCGGGGATCTACGATTCGGTCGGGCATGTCCCCCTACAGGCGGATTTGGGGCGAAAAGCAAAAAATATCCAAAAATACCCATAAATTCACAACAACAAAAAATTGTCCAGAAATCGTCCCCAGACTATTTTTCTACTATTTTTGAGCGTTCCTCCTGTAGGGGGACAGGCCCGACTCAACACTACTCGCAAGTGGCCTGGACCCGCCGCGGGGGATCTACGATGCGCTCTGTCGAGGAAAACCTGCGTATCTCCAGGCGCGTTTGCCGGTGGGCACTCTGCGAGCGGCGGAACAAAAAAAACGCGCTCGGGGGGGCCGTCCCCGTGCCGACCTCTGAGAGGGGGGCGAGGAGACTCCTAGGGAGCCCACAAAGGACGTACGCGCCCAGCTATGTACATGAACACGGCCCCTCGATCCCAGAGACCAGCCGCGTTATACGAACATTTGCGCAATGCGTACTCTCGAAACCAGCGTGGATTCATGTACGTGTACGTCCTTTTGTCGCTCCTGAACTCCAGGCCCTGCGATCCTGGCGTCGCAGCTGCTCGGTCGAGTCTGGCATCTTGGCATCAGCTGACGGCCACGGGAGCCTCACAGAGCGGTACGGCTCGAAGAGGAGCTGCTGCCGAAGAGTGGGGTCCGGGGCCGGGGCTCTGGTCCTGGTGTTTCGCGATGGTGCATTCCGTCGCGCCTTCGGATCTCAGGGGGTGGAGGGTGGGGGAGCGGAGCGGGGCGGATGGCGCGGGATGGCATGGGGACGACCCCCTGGGCGGCCCCCCCAGACAATCATGGTGAGAGAAGGCGAGGGGGGCGACGGGGGAGCGGTGCCGTGTTGAAGGGGGGGATTGCCAGGGCGCACCAGGGGTGGCCAGGGACGGCCTTCTGAGAAGGCGGGGGGTGGTCTTAGAAGGCAGGGGTCTTCTTAGGAGGGCCTGCGGGCGTCTAGGAGAGCGTACTCGAAGCCGGGAGGGCTTCCAAGAAGCCACCTGCCTCTCAGAAGCCCCTCCTCCTCCTCCTCCTCCTCCTCCTCCTCCTCCTCCTCCTCCTCCTGCTGAGAAGGCGCCACCCCATTTGTGCGCGCCGCCGGCAAGAGGAGGTCGGACACGCCATCGACGAAGTTCCGCAGTGAGGCCAGCGCAATCCTGCGACGACTGTCTCCACAAGCGGCGTCTGAGAGAGGGCCAGACGACGACGACGACGACGACGACGACGACGACGACGACGCTGACGACGACGGCGGCGGCGGCGGCGGCGACGACGACGACGACGACGAGAAATCGGAAGGGCGGAGAACGAAAACTACTCACGTACGGGTCGAGACGACTCGTTCTTGGCTTTTGACGTCACGTGAATCATTCAACCATGAGCGATCGCAGCTTCCCCCATGGCGCGGAAGTCTCGATAGCGACTAATTCTGGGCCACTTGGTGGCGTTCAGCCATGAACGCCCGCGCTGGTGTCACCGCCGCGTCGACACGACACGAACCTGCCATACGCACCGACCCCGACCAAGCCAATCCTGGGCCCAGGATCGGTGTGGGTGCCCCCCGCATCGGCTCAGGACGCATCGACACGTACCGGGATCGGGCCGGATCGGCCGCGCCAGGATGCACAGCAGCGCCGCGCAAGCATCGGGCCGCTCGTCGGAGTTGGAATCAAATCGGATCGGGCCAGCCGAAGCCGATATCGATCGAATCGGATCGGTCGGATCGAAGAGAGACCGAAGAGAGGCCGACACTGCGGGGGCCTGGACGGCCCGTCCAGGCAAAGGGAAGAGGGGAGAGGATAAGGAGGGAAACGCCACCAGAACCAATGAAGAAATGGCGGTCTAGGTTTTTGGTTTGAGCTTAGGGAAGAGGAGGAGGAGGAGGAGGAGGAGGAGGAAAACGCTAGTCGAGGAAAGGAGAGGAGAGCAAAAGGAGGAGGGAAACGCTAATCGAACCAAAGATGAGGCGGCGATCCAGGCTTGGTCAGAGCTGTTCCTCGAGGGGAAGTCGTCACCAGCCCTGCGGTGGGGTGCTCTCTCCTGTTTGGTTTGGTTGGGGCCCCTGGCCCCTAGGAGGGCGCTGGGTCTGTGAGCATCCCCACTGGCGCGCCCGATTGGCGTCGGGTTTCGCTGGGCCTATTCCCATCCAAGGGGACGGGCTGGTGGTACCATGGCCCAGTGGGGATGAGGATTGGTTTATAACAAGTCCGCAGGCTCCCGGGCGAGGGGGATATCGGGTCCCTCTCAGCAATCAATGGGCGTTCGGGTGGTGTCGATGCATCCCCCACTGAGCCTATCCCCCCCCTATTGTTACCCCTGACGCTGGGTCTGTCACTGGAGGGGAAGACAGCGGGGACCATGAAAAAGACTGAGCGTGGAAGCGTGGTGTCGATCTTGGTCACCGTCGATCCTTGGTCAGCGTCAGTTCGTTGATCCATCCTTGCGAATCGGCGACGGCCGACATGGACCATCATCAAGGTCGGCACCGACGGAATCCCGCGACATCTTGGCCATGGTCCCCGTGTCTCTTCCCTCGACGCACCTCGAGACTGCGCCCCCCGCGACAGCGCCAGCATTGGCGGCGCGCACAGAAGGACGTGGAGGGAGGGAGAAGGCTTCATATGAAGGGGCACTGGGACACACAAATAAATACACACAAATGACAGGATCCCCCAGGTTTTCCCATATTTTCAGGGTTATTGGCTTCCCCCCCACTTCCCCATATTTTCCAATATTTTCCTGGGAATCGACGATTGATTGTGCCTGTGTGTTTTTCCCCTCCTGATCATAGAAGGAGGCTGCTTCTTGGAAGGCACCGCTACTGCGTCCACGGACAAGGGCCGCGCCATCCGAGAAGCAGGGGGGCTTCTGAGAAGCCCTCCCCCCTCTAAGAAGCAGGGGTGCTTCTGAGAAGCCCTCCCCCCTCCCCCGCCTCCTCCTCCTCCTCCTCCTCCTCCTCCTCCTCCTCCTCCTCCTCCCCCGCCTCCCCCCTGCGCGTGGCCGACCGGCCCACGGCCAACCGCCGCGGCCTGTGCCGCACCGCCTCTCACCGGGCAGGCCGCCCCGCTGCTCCGTGCACGGCCGCAAAGGGAGCGCACGGCGGCGCCGAAGCGTCCCCCGGCCACGGCCACCTCGGAGACGCTCCGAGGAGGGGCGAGGAGGAGGAGGGGGAAACGGCCGTCCTCCGTCCGAGGCCGCGACGGGCGGAGCGCTGCCACCTTCGCGCCACTCGGGGTCGACCGACAGCCGAGCAGCAGAGTACGGATGCACGGTAAGGGTGCACAGGCCTTGGAGGACCATGTCGGCGTGCTGGACCGAGTTGGCCAGCGAAAACTGCCAAGGACGGGCCAAGGGGCAAGGATGCAAGGAGACCTGGGAAGTTGCTCATCCTTACTGTGCGACCTGACTGTACGAGGCTGAATACTTGGGGTTGACGTCTCGCGGCGGCGGCACGTGCGACACGCTGTGCCTCGCAAACTGACAGCGCGTCGCTCCGCCTCGTGGGACAAGAATCTGGGCTAAAAACGGAACGTTGATGCTTGATGGACTGGGACGCGCTGAGCATGTCGCGCCAGAGCGTGGCGGGTCAGAACCGGCGGCGCGACACGCTAAGCAGCTATTCCTGGCGGGGGCGGGGGCGATGTGGCCTTGGAAGACTCGCCCGGGGGGCTGTACGAGGGGACCTTCAGCATCTCCTCGGCAGGCCGACAGTATCCTCCTCAGCCTCCTCCTGCGGAACCAGAAGGCATCACACTCACACGTACAACAAACAAACAAACAAACACGAATCACGGCCAGGAGCGCGGCGATGACAAAGTTCAACGCAGCGAACACGTAGACCAACGACACGATCACCCTCTTCCTCCTCCTCTTCCTCCTCGACCTCCTCCTCCTCGACCTCCTCCTCCACCTCTCCCTCCTGCTAATAATAATAATAATCCTCCTGCACCTCCTCCTCCTCCTCCTTCTCATCCTCTCCCTCCTCCTCCTTTTCCTCCTCCTCCCTCTCACCACCACCACCACCTTCATCACAATCGTCATCATCATCATCATCACCACCACCACCACCACCATCATCATCATCATCATCATCATCATCATCCTTCTTCGGGGGGGGACCGCGAGTCGGCGGCTGCCCCCCTCGGGAAAGCGGGATCGTCATCATCATCATCATCATCATCATCATCATCATCATCATCATCACCACCACCACCATCATCAGCAGCAGCAGCATCCACCTCTGTATCATCATCAGCATCATCACCATCGTCATCATTATCACCGTCATCACCACCACCGTCATCAGCATCCGCATCCTCAACATCAGCATCATCAGCAGCAGCATCATCATAGTCATCATCAGCATCATTAGCATCATCATCAGCACCATCATCCGCATTATCTTTACCACCGTCCTTATCACCATCATCACCGTCACCATCATCATCATCATCAGCATCATCACCGTCACCATCATCATCACCACCGTCACCACCATCATCATCATCATCATCATCAGCATCATCATGACCGTCACCAGCATCATCAGCAGCAGCATCAGCATCATCATCATCATCGTCATCCTCATCATCATCATCATCGCCACCACCATCATCATTATCATCAGCAACATAATCTCCATCATCGCCCGGATCATCCATGTCATCATCACCAGCGTAAGCATAACCATCATCATGAGGCCCTGAAATCATGACGGCAAGATGGATTGCCAGATGTGGCCTTCCCCCCCGAGGGCCCGTCGGCCTTGGGGGTGTGAGATGTCTAAGAGCCTGGCGAAAGACATCGCTGGCTAGGTGGGTAAGCTACAGAAGGTAAACATGAAAGACAGCAGAAAGCGGAGAGAGAGGGGGAGATGAGGGATAACACGGGAGAGAGAGAGAGAGAGAGAGAGAAAACAAAAAAAACGAAGAGAGGGGTGCGGCGGCGGCGGCGTTGCAGGAGGAAGGTGGGGTTGCAGCAGTTGCGAAGCAGCGTGGCGGCTGCGCGGCGGGAGGCGGAAGGCGCAGAGGAACCCTCCGCGGGCGTCCGCCAGTTCAACGACGGGAAACCTCGCCTGCAGAGCAAGCGCAGGGGCACCAGAACGTGAGACTGGGTGCCGCCAGGGGGGCCACCAAGCGGGGGGAAGTTTGAGCCTTCCGCGGCGGTGGCTCCCAGTAGGTAGGTGGCGTGGGGCGGTGTGGCGGCATGGCCACACTCGCCTGGGTGGAAGGCACAAAGGCCTGTCCCCCTGCCCGTAGAAAGCTTCAGTAGGCGTCCACCAGTCCTACGACGGGGACCCTCGCCTGCAAGCAGGCGCAGGGCCCCCGAGCGCAGGACGGGTGGCCACCCCTGCGGGTTCCACTGGGCGTGGGGAGGGTCTGCGCCTTCCGTGGCGGTGCCAGGCTGATGGGCCTGTTTTCCGCCGCCACCGCCATGAGTTGGAGGGGGGAAGGAGGTGGAGGAGGAGGAGGAGGAGGAGGTGGAGGAGGAGGAGGAGGATGATGAGGAGGAGGAGGTGGAAGATGAGGATGAGGGGAGAGGGGGGAGGATGATGAGGAGGAGGAGGATGAAGATGATGAGGATGATGAGGAGGAGGATGATGATGAGGAGGGGGGAAGGAGGTGGAGGATGATGAGGAGGAGGAGGACCCCCTCCCTCTCCAACGTGTGGGCCGCGCCAGCAGCCGCCCTGCGCCAGGACAGCACGCGGCCAGGCGCCGTCCACCACCCCCCCCCCCCCGGTGTGAGACCCACCCCCCCCCCACCGCCGTCGCCGACAGGGCGCTGCAGAGGTCAATAGCGGCAGGCTGGCGACGCACGTGGCCGACTTCCTTACTGCTCGTCCTCCTCCTGCTCCTCCTCCTGTCTCACCACCATCGTCTTCGTCATCGTCTTCGTCATCGTCATCATCATCATCATCATCATCATCATCATCATCATCATCATCATCATCATCATCATCATCATCATCACCACCACCACCACCACCATCATCATCATCATCATCATCATCATCATCATCCGCAGCAGCAGCATCATCTCATCACCAGCAGCAGCAGCATCAGCATCAGCAGCAGCATCATCATCATCATCAAAAACAGCATCAGTATCAGCACCATTGCCATCATCAACATCAGCATCAGCACCAGCACCAGCATCAGCATCAGCATCAGTATCAGCATCAGCATAATCATCGACAGCAGCAGCTAGATCAACAGCAGCATCAGCATCGACATCAGCATCAGCATCAGCATCGGCATCAGCATCAGTAGCATCATCGTCATCAGCAGCAACAACATCTTCTTCATCATCATCAGCATCATCAGCATGAGCAGCATCATCATCATCATCATCATCATCATCAGCATCATCATCATCATCATCATCATCATCATCATCATCAGCATCATCATCATCATCATCATCATCATCATCATCATCATCATCATCATCATCATCATTATCGTCATCAGCATCATCGTCATCATCATCACCATCAGCATCATCATCATCAGCAGCAGCATCAGCAGCAGCACCACCATCATCATCATCATCATCATCAGCAGCAGCATGAGCATCAGCATCATCTGCATCAGCATCAGCATCAGCATCATCATCAACATCAAAAGCAGCACCATCAGCATCGTCATCAGCATCATCAGCATCAGCATCGTCATCAGCAGCAGCATCAGCATCATCATCAACAGCATCACCAGCATCATCCACAGCAGCAGCATCCTCATCATCAGTTGCATCATGTCCAGCATCATCATCATTACCAACATCACCATCATCCTCATCATCATCATCCTCATCATCCTCATCATCAGCATCAGCATCACCTCATCATCAGTATCATCAGCACCATCATCAGCAGCATCATCATAAGCATCATCATCATCATCATCATCATCGTCATCATCATCATCATCATCATCATCATCATCATCATCATCATCATCATCATCATCATCATCATCATCACCACGGACCGGTGGCAGCGGCGAGGACAAGGAGGCCGAGGCTGCCGCCGCCGCTGCCGCCGTGGTCGTCGCTGCCGCCGCCGCCGTGGTCGTCGCCGCCGCCGCCGCTGTCACGGGGGGCCGCGGCCGCTCGCGACGTGCTCCTGGGCGTCCACCGGCGGCCTGGGCGACGCCGGCGGGGCCGGAAGAACGGCCCCCCCCCGCTCTGCCCACCCGCCTCTCCCAACAACATGGTCTCGGACCCTGGGACAATGAACAGAAGGGACCTCTGGGGCCGCGGGTCGAGGAAAAGCACACCGACCAGCCACAACTGGGGGAGCGGTGGTCCTCACCCCCCTGGGGGAGCCCATCGCATCGACGACCTCTCGAGAGGGGTGTCGAAATCGATGGGCCCCCCAGGGGGGAACACAGCCCCCCCAGTTATGGCTGGCCTGACACATCGGCGGCTGGCAGGGTGAACACCTCGCACATCCTGGCTGGGCCGATCCTTGGCTCCTGGTCGGTGCCTACGCCTCGGTGGCTCCGGCAACGCTCCCGAGCCCAGGAACGGTGAGGTGGTCTGTCGACGTTCCCATCCTTCTTCGCGTGCGCGTGTCAATTCCAAGACTCGCGCACAGCAGGCCGTACAGCGTGGTCCAGCGCCATCTGCCATCAACGCCAACAACGTCGTCGTAGTCGCCGCCATCGTCATCCATGTCGTAGTCGTCATCATCATCATCATCATCATCATCATCATCATCAGCATCATCATCATCATCATCATCATCATCATCATCATCATCATCATCATCATCATCATCATCATCATCATCATCATCATCATCATCATCATCATCATCATCAGCATCATCAGCATCATCAGCATCATCAGCATCATCAGCATCATCATCATCGTCATCATCTCACCACCACCACCACCACCATCATCATCATCACCATCAGCAGCATGATCAGATCATCATCATATCATCATCACCATAAGCATCATCATCTGCATCAGCATCATTATCATCACCAGCACCACCACCACCATCATCATCGCCATCATCATCGCTGTCATCATCACCACCACCTCACCAGAACCATCATCGTCATCATTCTCAGCATCATCATCAGCAGCATCATCATCTCCATCATCATCATCATCATCATCAGCAGCAGCAGCAGCATCAGCATAATCATTGTCATCGTCATCACCATCATCATCATCGTCCTTCCTCATCCTCCTTCTCATCATCATCATCATCATCATCATCATCATCATCATCATCATAAACAACAACATCATCATCATCAGCATCATCATAGCATCGTCATCATCGTCATAATCATCATCATCATCATCATCATCATCATCATCATCCCCATCCCCATCCTCATCATTATCATCATCAGCATCAGCATCGTAATCGTAATCATAAGTTGCAGCATCATCGTCATCATCATCAGCAGCATCATCATCAGAATCAGCATCGTCAGCATCATCATTACAAAAATCAGAATCATCGTCATCATCATCGTCCTCATCATCATCATCATCATCATCATCATCATCATCATCATCGTCACTACCAACACCGCCACCATCACCATCACCACCACCACCACCACCATTCTCATTATCATAACCATCAGCATCGTCATCATCAGCATCATCATTATAATCAGTATCATCATCATCAGCATCATCATCATCGGCATCAGTATCGTGATCACCATCATCATCATTATCA